CCCCCCCCCACCGAAGGAGGCTTTCCCCCCTTCCTCCTCCTCCTCTTTCTCTTCTCCCCCCGAAGGAGACCCTCCGCGCACGCATTTGGCATGCGCCGTCGAGGGAATGAGACCGGGCGCAGCTCGCCTCCAGCCCTAGCGTCCAGCGGGGTCCCTGGGCAAAGGCGTCGACAGCTGGCGATGGGGCAGCGATCCGTCCCTGGGAGCAGGACGGCCGCCACGCAGAGGACTCTGCCGGTACGCTTGCCGGGAAAGGGGCGGCGGGGCGCGCGGTGGGGGCGCGGGGAAGAACTCCCGGCCGGAGTGTGGCGTGCGCCCGTTCGCTGGAGCGAATTCCGCGGATATCGGAGGGACATCGCCGAGCAAAGATGCCCCGAATCGGGGCTGTGGAGTCTCCGGGAAGTTGGGTGCCTAGAGCGAGCGAAACTTCGCCAAGGAGGCAGTGGAATGGCACCTTTATCCTCTTTCAAGGGGGTGCTTTTTTGGGGGGGGGGGGTGTCAAGAGGCGCCAGGATTTTCCTGGGTCGGTGGGAGAGAGTAGGAAAGCGAAGCAACAGTTTCGGGGACCCGGAGTGGCAGTTCTGATTCTCAATGGAAGCAGCTGCTAAAATTCCGGAATGATTACGGGGATGACGGGCATCATAGGAATAAACAACAGCAGGCATCTCTCTCAAAGCCCAATTGTGCACTTGCGAAATAAGTCCCATGGTGGATGCATCCTGATTCGTGCTGATTTATTGGGAAGCCACAACACCCGTGCTGGGCCTTTCTTCCGTTAGCCGTGCATGCCGCCAGCTTCACTTCTGTAGAACTGAAGCAGGGACAGGAGAACTGCAGTTCAAAGGCATCCCCAAAGAGGCTTGGTTTGTTGGTTTGTTTGTTTGTTTGTTTATTAAAAGCTTTTCTATCCCATCCCCTACGATTGTCTTGGGATGGCTACGGTTGCCCTGCAGTTATATGGCCAAGAGGGCCGGTGCTCCATTAGAAGCCGGGAGAACGAAAGAGAAAAACACTAACAAGTTTGTGCTCCTTGCAGCTTCAAAGGGAAATACCGAGAACACAGGTGTATGCTCGTTGTCATCTGTCCTTATGCACCTATTTCAGTGAAGTTTATGCTTGAATAATTATGCCTAGGGTTGCAGTTAAGAATTGGTGAACTTTTTCTTTAGTGGAGAAGAGGCGGAAGGTCCCTGACATCCTATCTGCCATGGCTGCCATGGTGGATTCCATTCCGTATGTGCACAGCAAGCTGTGATGGGTTGTGTCTGTGTTTGGCTTTTCATGAACTCCAGATGGAAGAGGCAGAAATGGAGTCATCCTACTGAGTTCCTCCACAGAAGAAAAGACAGCATAGGAGTGCTTCTTGAATTATGCTTGCAGATTAGATCTCCTTTTTTTCTTTTTTAACGTCACCAATAGTAAATGAAACAGTGATGTGGTTTTTGCAGATGATGATGATCAAATTCAGCAAGGTGAATTTGATCTGTGTCTTGTGTCAAGCTGGACTGTTTACAGTTTCAGAAAAACACGATATTTGAGTGAGGAAGGAAGCAGACAGAAGTTTAAAGACCACTGAGCTTCCTCCTCTTATTATTATTTTGGTGCACTGTTCTGTTTTCAACAGAGTGTACTCTGGGGATTTTTAAACACATAACTCTTCCCCTATTTGATGATTTCTTGATGAACACATGTTCAGAAGACTTGCAAAGGGTAAATAAGGTGCATCTCATAATTTAGGGTGAGTATGCAGACTTGATTCTTCAGGGCAAGGTGGTTCTGTTGAGCTGATCTCTGCTGCTGAAGACTAGTGCATGGAATTAGGCACATGGTGGATCTACAGGTGATTGAAGATGTTCAGGAGATGTCCTCAAAAAGCAGATTTGGGTTGATAGGATATTTCATCTGGAAGAGACCAGAAGATGTATTTCAGGGTAAGGTCTGATGTAGGGCCTCAGGGGCAGGAGAGCAGTGGATAACCCTGGTCACTAACCACTTGTTCCTCTCTTTCTCCAGAACTTATTCTTTTTCCTGGTCTTCCTGGGACCTTTCAACTGCTTTGCAAGCTACAGCCGTGCCACGGAACTCTTCTACAGCATCAATGAAGGGCTGCCTGCTGGGTACCTCATTGGGAATCTAATCCAGGATTTACAGCTCCAGGGGGAAGCCGAGGAAGTGGGGGAGACAGCAGGAGTGGGGGAGCGGCAGCCCATCCCATGGGGAAGAGCCCCTCTCTCCTTCAGTCTAGCCTCGGAGGGACTGGGAGGCCTGTACGTCCGCCTGAACAACCGGACAGGAGAACTTCACACATCAGCCCAGGAGATCGACCGCGAGGCCGTGTGCACAGAGGACAACGTCGGTTCTAACGCGGTCGCCTCTTCGTCCTCCTCGCCAGCACCATCCTCGGAGTCCTGCCTGCTGTTGCTGGACGTTCTGGTCTTACCTCAGGAGTATTTCCGCCTTGTCAAGGTAAAGATTGCCATCCATGATGTAAATGACAATGCGCCCTGGTTTCCCCTGCCGCAGATACACCTCTTTGTGCCTGAGAATTCGCCCATCAACACCCGCTTAGCTATAGAGCACCCAGCTGTAGACCCAGATATGGGTACTAATGGGGTCCAGACATACCAACTGGAAGAAGACTATGGGGTTTTTACACTGGATGTGGAGGAAAATGAAAGTGGGGAAAGAACGCCTTACCTGATTGTCATGGGTGCCTTGGACAGGGAGGCTAGAGATGAATATGTCACACTCATAACTGCAGAGGACGGAGGAGAGCCACCATTGGTGGGCAGTGCCACCCTCACTGTTGGCATCAGTGACATCAATGACAACTGTCCCCAGTTCAACGAGACCCAGATCAATGTCACGATCTTTGGTAACGCTAGCATCGGGTTGCGTCTAGCCTCAGTCCGTGCTGTGGATGTGGACCAGGGAATCAATGCCGAGATCACCTACTCCTACAGCCAAAAGGTGTCTCAGTCGTCCCGTACTTTGTTCCACCTTGACGAAAGCACTGGCGCGATCAAGCTCTCCAAGCGGATTAATGGGGATACTCCTCGTCTCCATCGGTTGAGCATATTGGCTAACGGTCCTGGTTGCATTCCAGCTGTTATTACTGTGTTGATATCTATCATCAAAGTCATGATGAGACCTCCAGAAGTGATCCCTCGCTTTATAGCTAATGAAGTGGAAGGGGTGGTTTACCTGAGGGAACTGGAGCCGGTGAACACCCCAATAGCGTTTTTCACCATAAAAGACCCAGACGGGAAGTACAAAGTGGAATGCTATTTGGAGGGTGGTGGTCCATTCAGATTGTCACCGTACAAACCCTACCACAACGAGTACCTATTGGAGACTACAGAGCCATTGGATTACGAGTCTCAACAGTCCTATGAAGTCTCTGTGATTGCATGGAATACGGAGGGATTCCATGTCAATAGAAGAGTTAAAGTGCAGATTCTGGACGATAATGACAACTCACCCGTTTTTTCCCAACCACTGATAGAACTGTCCATAGAAGAAAACAATGCACCCAGTGCTTTCTTGACCAAGCTCCATGCGACAGATGCAGACAGTGGGGAAAGGGGACAAGTTTCTTATTTCCTTGGCCCCGAAGCTCCTTCTTATTTTTCTTTAGATAAAGTCACTGGAGTCCTTACAGTTTCCACCCAACTGGACAGAGAAGAAAGAGAAAAATACCGTTACACAGTTAGAGCAGTTGATTTTGGAGTGCCTCCCCGAGAATCGATAGCCACCATTACCATCTCGGTACTGGATAAAAATGACAACAGTCCAAGATTTATCAACAAGGATTTCAGTTTTTTCGTGCCAGAGAATTTCCCAGGCTTTGGCGAAATTGGAGTTATAAGTGTCACTGATGCAGATATTGGGCAAAATGGATGGGTCGCACTTTCTGTCGTCAATGGAAGTGACATCTTCGTTATAGACACTGGCAAAGGAGTGCTGAGAGCCAAGGTCTCCCTTGACAGGGAGCAGCAGAGTTCATATACCCTGTGGGTTGAAGCAGTTGATGGAGGGGACCCTGCTTTGTCCTCTACTGCAAAAATAACTATCCTTTTACTGGACATAAATGACAATCCACCATTAGTCTTATTTCCTCAGTCTAACATGTCTTACCTTCTGGTCCTTCCTACAACTCTGCCTGGATCTCCCATCACAGAGGTCTATGCTGTAGATAACGACACTGGCATGAACGCAGTCATAGCATACAGCATCATTGGGAGAAGAGGTCCCCGGCCGGACTCTTTTAAGATTGACCCCAAGACAGGCAACATCACTCTGGAAGAGTCCCTCATGCAGAATGACTATGGCCTCTATCGCCTTCTTGTGAAGGTTAGTGATCATGGTTACCCAGAGCCTCTTCATTCCACAGTCATGGTGAACCTGTTTGTCAACGACACTGTGAGCAACGAGAGCTACATTGAAAGTCTTTTAAGGAAGGAACCTGACATTAATATTGAAGAAAAAGAACCTCAGATTTCTATAGAACCCACGCACAGAAGAGTTGAATCAGCTTCTTGCATGCCTACTTTGGTAGCCCTCTCAATAATAAGCTTGGGTTCAATAACACTGGCAACTGGAATGGGCATTTATATCTGCCTACGGAAAGGGAGAAAATACCATAGAGGAGAGGAAAACTTGGAAGTACAAATCCCATTAAATGGAAGAATTGATCTGCATATGCTGGAGAAGAAACCAGTGGAAATTTCCAATATTTGATGTCTTGTTTCACAAAGACAATCTCAACCTGCTCCTAAACATTATGAACAATGATTATTCTCCCAAATGGGGGATTATCAGCGGTAGCTATAATGAAGGACTGATTTATAACTTATTATAATTGTAAATAACTCTTTACAGGTTTTTTTTTAAGAAAAAGGGGAAAAGACAAAAAAAATCAAGCCCAGTGTACAGATTTTATTTTCAACCTGAAACTTAGTGCTAATAGCTAGTAACCTGTCTGTGTAGACACAGGACTCTCGAGACTGATCCATAAACCAAGTCAGTATTGCTAAAGACAAAGGTAAGGCAACCACACATTCATTGTTATCCTTTTCATTTCTTTGATTTGTTTCTGTCCACACGAGGGCATTGTTAGCCATTTCTGTAAATGGGACTGTTTAAGAGAAAATGCAAAAGTATATTTTAAATGTATTGTTTTTTGATAAAGAAAAAAAATAAAAGTATGGGTTTGAGGTATAATAAATGGATGTTCTATTGTATATATGTGACGATGATAAGAAAATATGCACTGGTAAATCAAAGCAGAATGTTATATTACCTCAGATATGAAATATATACATAGGCAAGGAATTAATAAGTGCAATTTCTAGAGGGTGCCCACCATCCTTTGTGAGATTGTGAACAGAAACGAGGTGTTCACTTTTCACTCAGTCCAAACAAACCATATAAATTACATAAACAGTTTGCTTGCTATTCTGAAATTCGGTGGATCAGATTTCTTGGATTGAATGAAAATATGCCATCTGGGATCCAAAGTGGTCCGTGTGTACGTGGAACAGGAAGGGGCTTGATGCCAAGGTTCCTGTCTAGCCAAGCTCCTTAAGCTTCATGGAATGCCCCTCTGGAAGGCTCCCCAGACCTTGTGGGAAACTTCAGCTGTTGCACAAGCAGCCTGTTGACCCTGCTTCCAGGATACCACAGCCTGATGCTGTGTACCTTTATTTGGAAGCGTTGCACTGTGTTTCATGGGATTTCCACCATAGCACCCAAGTAAGACTGCAGGGTGTTCTGTAGCTTCAATGCAGAACATCCCAAATCAACCGCCACCACCAAGGGATCTGAGTGTGTCAGGAACCAGTGAACCACCAGCCCTGGTCCAGCAAAGCTTCCACATATCCAAATCCAGTATTTTTAGTGCAGTATCTTTATTATGCCAACCAAGAGATACAAAATACAAATTATTATGCTCACCAATCAGGTAGGATGGTATCAGTGACAAAAGAAATGCAATGTTTTGAGATCCCCAGATCATTTCATCAGGCAAGATGGTATAAAAAAATCAAGCTGTAGGGATTAGGGGGTGAATGCAAGAGGGAAACATAACTTGAGGATGAAGTTGATGGAGTGTTTCAGGTGGCAAATGGAAAAGGAGAGAAGGGATCTGCAAAAGTTGGAGCAGGGTACGGAGTCATGAGATGGTTATGAGAAGAACCTGCTTTTCCCCCTGGGGGCTTCTGGGATGAAGAAAGGTGAAAATATTAGTCCCTCCAGTTTTGAAACAATAATGTCCAGAAGTTTTCAGAAGTGTTTTCCATCCTGGCTGACACAAATAGGGTCTTTTCACCAGTGGCCCACCGCATGAAATTAGGCAGTCTTTACATAACGATGCAGGAGTCAACCTGCTGTTCTCAACCTGAAGTCAAACTGGGTTTCCATATATGATTTGGTCATTCTGCCTCTGACTGCTCCATAGAAATATATACTTCAGGACAGAAGGTCTGTGTCCAGTTTATTCTGCGCACACCAGCAAAATCGATAGTTCCAAATACCTGCATTGCCTCATAGCCACCACTAATGCTTTCAGAGTGTACAACCCTCATTACCTGTCCAGGTGTGGGTAGGGCAGTGAGAACTTCACATGTAGCACCTGATGTGTTGGAAGCCAGAATCTTTGGACTGGAGCCTGCAATCCATGCCCTTCTGTTGTATTATATTACAGCCCCATGCTCCACTATGGTCACAGTTAAATATATTTTTGATCCGGTAACCTCAAGTTAAATTCTGAGTTGCTGTAAACAGTGCTTTGTGGTTAGCAATCTGTCAGTAGTTCTCCTCACTTTGGTTGCAGGCCATTTTTATATGATGTTTCTGCACTAGATCTTTGAAATGGAAACCATCATTGCTTCTCATTCTGAGTAATGTGAAAGTTTAGTTTTATGTGTTGACTCTCCGGATTAGTAATTGGTGTGAGTGAACAACAGCTAATTGCTGATTCTTGGCTCTTTTCCTCTTCCTGAGCTTAGTCTTCTGGGTAAGGTCCAGAACTCTCCCTCTTCAAACCAGTGACAAATCTTCCCAGCCATTTAGACCCTCGTCTGCCTCTACAGCCTCCTAGCTAAGAGGTTATCGGCAATGCACACCTTCAATGTTGATTGCAAGAGTGGGGAAACTGCATCAAATTTATCTGTATAAAGCAAGACAAGTGAGTGAGTGTTTTGCTTAAAACGGACACTTTTCTTGAGTTCTGACAATATGTCTGTACTGTACCAAAAGTGTTTATATGTCTGCAAATAAAAGTTCTCTATTTTCATAATCCTTTTATCTGTTAGCATTTTATGAACTCTAGGTGCCTGTAAGGGAGAAGGCATGTATTCCGTTTATCCCTCACACACCACCAAATACATGGTTCCAGACACCCGTCCCACCTCATGTAAACCTCTGCCTTGTAATTCTCATTACCTGTCAAAGTCCAGGTGAAAAGGGAGGGATTTCTCTTCTTTATTCACTGTAGGTCCTGCTGAACTCAAATTATTCCTATTTTGTCTACTCCAGGAGCAGTCACTTTAGAGCCCCTAGACACCAATACTTTCCCCAACACCCTTCAAGTTGCCCTACCCTTCCCATTTTCATATGGGAAGTGAAGTGATCCCTTCCCAAGAAGGCCTCTGAGCTAGACATTGGGGATTAGAGACCTTCTTAGGAAGTTAAGAGGGTGAGCAGCACCATGAAGGGGAAACAAGGTACCTAACACTAGATTCAAACTGCAGTTGAGAATGCTGTGGAACAGATCCTTGCACAGTCTTCTGGGTTATTTGCCTTTCGTGTGCAGACACACCATAGAATGGCAGCCATTCTATGATGGAACCCACAACTGTTGCTCAGACGTGCCTGCAGTCCCAAGAAGCCTATCCCAGGCTTACACAGCCATTACCAATACAACAATTTATGGAATCAAGCCAAGTTTTTGAACAAAATGTTGGCATACTTGCCATGGTCTGAGACACATACATCTGTGCACATCAAACAAACATGTAGAATTGCAGGAAAGGGTGGTTTTCCATGCACTTCTGCACACCACCACCCCACAAACTCGTGTTGTTGCACCATGCAGTCCAGGCATGGAAGTACCAATAGTGGTTGTTAGAGCAGTGCAAAATTTGGATGCTTCTAAGGGTCAGTTCACATATTTAGGAACACCGCTTGATTTCCAAACTCTTGGAACTCCACTCAGCCTGAACATGCGATCTGATCCTATTGAGGAAGTTCCATGTGTGAAAGGATGTGAGGTTCTGCCAGCTTGTGGTGTTGTTCTCCAGTGATTAACCTTACATTAGCCATCCCAAAGTTCTGCTGCTGAATAGGTGGCTAGGGAGATCAACGGTCTTCCAGTCATATCTAGCTGTGTTTTCTTACAGGACTTGCGACATTTGTTGGTTTAGGGTTTATGCTTGGAAGTACAGCTGTGTACAAAGAGTCTGACATAATTTCCCCTAATTGCGGGCAGAGAAATTGAGGGAACTGCTTCACCGAATTTCCCCCAGGAGACAAGAAATTCTCCCAACAGTTTCTCACCTGTAGGTTATAGCACAACTTTTCTTTTTCCAGGGAACGTTTGGCTTTCTGTGCTGCTACTGTAAGTTTACTATTTATTTATGTATTTATTTAAAATTATGGTACCCCGTCCTTCACAGTGTCTCAGGGCAGTGATAACGTGAATAAATAGGACACAGCATCACAATAATATATATGATCAAACTAAAAATCAATAGTAACATTAAAAATGCTGGGAAAATTAAAAGGGTTTGGCCTGGTGCTGAAATTAAAGGGTTGGCACCAGGCACACCTCTCTGGGGAGCCTGTTCCATAGCTGGGTGCCACCACAGAGAAGATCCTTCTCCAGGTAACTCTCCTGATCTCCTTCAAAGAGGTCTCCCAAAGAAGGACCTCCGCTCCAGATTTTAGAGGCCAGACAGGTATATATGGAAGGAGGTGTTCCTTCAAATATCCAGGTCCTAAGCCATTTAGGGTTTTGTATGGCATCACTAGCACCTTAAAGTGGGCCCGGACTTCAGTTGGAAGCCAGTGCAGCGGGTACGACACCGGTGTTACATGTGTATATCTGCCGGCCCCTGCTAGCAACCTGGCTGCTCCGTTCTGAACCAAGTTGCAACAGCATCAACTGTGTTGAGAGCATAGCTCCAAGGAGGCATCACCCACAGCGCAGGTGTGAGGAACAGTGTTGCATCTGGCGCCAAGAAGACGGCGCTATGCCGAACTCCAGCCTCCAGATCCCTGGAGGCGCCAAGGAAGGCGGTGCTGTGAAAGAGGCTTCCGTTTTTCTGCCTCATTCTCCTGACTGGGAATTCTGCTGATTCTCAGTTCTCATCATTATCAAATAATCCCCATTCTTCAATAAAATAACCATTAAAATAGTTTATATTCATTGCATATATATCTATAATTCTTTTAATACTAACCTTAATATATAATTTAATTTTATAATTCCATTTGAATTGATGTTGATGGTGTCCTTCAATGCACTTGTGAAGTGACCAAGCAGCTGTGTCTGCCTCGCCTTTCTATTACTCATTTCTCCACTGCCTTGCAGCCACCCCAGCGTTCTGCACTTCCTGATCTGAAAAAGCCCCATGGAGGCATTAGCTCATGAGGCCTTCCCCTGAGCTTTACCTGAAGTTCAGACAGCCAAGGAGCCTACAGGCCCCTAGAGATATGAATGCAAGAAAGGCTGTGGATGC